CAGGAGAGACCTCAGTATATGGAAATGCTGTTGTGATATCTTATGATGAAAATGACACAGAAGACCTTGAAAGAATAGTCCCTTATATTTCTAACATTGGAGAAAAAGCTGTCTCTTAACTGCTTATTTTCATGTCAACAAATGCAGGCTAATGGAAATGGCACATACATGAGGCCTATGTTCATAACTTCCTGGTTCCTAAGTTATCTATTATTGTGAACCCTAGGTATCATCTATCTATTTATTACTTCTTTACTGCCAAATTTCAATTTCAAATGCACACTCCTGAACAGGTTTATGAAATAAAGCCCTAATGAAGACACCAAGATATGGCATATTCCAATTCAAAGAAGTTTCCATGGCTCACAATTTTCTTGCTGCAGATCTATGGCAGTCTTTCCAAAACACTGAGAGGAGGGACGAGAAAAGGGGTTAGACTTCAAAAGCTCTTAGACACCTACAGATAGTGCTAGGTGTTGAGTGGGATCTTTCAAGTGCTACCAGAAAGCCTGCAAGAAAATGATTTCTACTGTAGGATTTATAACCAAACATTTCAGAATACACTGAAATATATTGGAAACAATATTTCTTTTGTTCCCATTTGTTTGGTGCAAAGCATAATGCTTGACTTAATGGTACTTCCAAACAGGCAAAGAAACAGATCCCCACATTTCAGTACAGAAGACAAGAGTTGCACAATTTACACTCCTAGATGTCAGCATTTTCCAGTGGGAGTAGTTAGATATTAAGTACCAGTAGCACCTATCCTCCCTGCCGAGTTTTGGCTCAGCAGCACAGTATGTGTTCATGGACTTACCTGAGGAATTTGTTAAGGTCTCCGTGCTTCATATACTCAAAGACCATGATGAGTGGATCACCCTCAACACAGACGCCATAGAACTTGACAATGTGCTCATGTTGCAGGTTAGTTAGCAGCTCTGCTTCACGGTGGAAATCCTTGCGGGCATTGTCACTGGCATCCTTCAGTGTCTGGTGGAGAAAATGCAAATGTAAGAAAGGACAGATGTTTGCAGAAGGTAGCAAAAGTGGGACAGCACTGTAAGGGTAAGATAAGGACATACTACAGCATGGAGGATAAAGCACTTTCTTCTTAACAACTCTTTCAGAAATGCAGATGTGATCCTTACGTGCAGTTAAATAATCACTGTACAATTTTCATTGTCCTGCCACATGTTATCCCAAACAACGACTTTTCTTGTAAGAGAATGTAAGAATACTCATGCTCTCACTGTGACAAGTGTTTTCCAAACGCAGAATAAACTGATCTCATCCAAAAAATATACTAGTACACAGCTGGTTTGTATCCTTTAGCATTTAACTCAGGTGACCCCTAGTATCCTGTTGGCATTTACCTTTCTTGTAAATTCTTTTAAATAAAACTCTTCTTGCTTAAAAAACTGGGTGGTTATGTAGAGGCATTCTTTATGTATTACTAATGTCACTGTTGCTGATGTTGGTCCCTGTAGTGTGCTATACATTAGGCAGATTTATACAAGGGGATATTCCTGGACAAGAACTCACAACCTGAGACTTCAGACAGAAACTCCTTTGAAATTCCCTAAATCTACTCACATGCCTAAGACTGGGCATATGTGTGAGTAACTGGAGGATCAATTCTAAAGTGATAGACAGAGAAGAAAGTAGATGCAGAGTAGAATTCTGGGGTGTCAATTTTTCTCACCCCCCTTTATTTATATAGCTCTAAATTCCTGCATATTTTAACTTTGAAGGAAATACATGAACACTGGATCAAATAGGAGGCTTAAATGTTGTGTAATGAAATAATACTAAATTAAGTGTCACATATAGGCAGTTTCAGATTTCTTCTTAAGGACAACATTTCATGAGCAAGGGAATGCTTTCATGCGCCAAAAAAAAGCAAATTCTGACATCAATTAAATGAGGAATAATTATAATTGACAATAAACCACTAATAGAATCTACATTCAGAGGTATGGTGGTTGTACTACGCTAATTCAAACAGCATTTTTAAAACCGCAAGTCAATTATAGCAAGTTACCAACATTCACAAATTGCTCTTCACAGAAACTGCTGTCTGGGCTCTGTACCTCTTAGATTTTTACAATACCTAGACTTAATATAATGGAAAGCAAGACATAAAAGCAGTGACAATGTTTTATCTAAAGATGCTTTTTGCTGGCCATCTAGTTGCTCTATTTTCTATCCTGAATTCATATACAGAGCATGGGACCAACCACACTCATCAGAACAGACACATAGCAAGTTGCTACTGTGTAGTCATTCTGCCAACAGACGCAGTTTTTAGCTGCAGCAGTCATGGTTTGCTCAAGCTTTTTCTTCAACAGCAACAATTTTGTCCACTCTTCTAGTATTCTATGTATGTGTGTGTGAAGAAGGGACTAAAAGATGACTGCTGGAACAAACACTTGCTTTCCTTGTGAAACCACAACTCTGGGTCTTGAAAAATGAACAGTTCCCATAATAAGATTCAGATGGGGGGGAAAGTAGCAGGGCAGAGTGGATAGCTGTCTTCCAAACTTTTCCCTGTGGATTTCAGGCTCTGTGGATCCTAGAGGCAATAGAAATCACTCATGCCACAGATGTTCCTTCCCTGAGGGACCTACTTATGAATCCTACATGCCTTCAGGCCCAGAATCCTTCTTCCATGAGTTTTACCAATAATGATATGCAACAAGGATATTGCATCATCATAACTTCACTAGCTATGATATGGTAGTACACGAGTTGTATCATCTAAAGGTGGGTATCAAATTGGTTGCTCACTATGGTCCACACACAATCGCATCTGAACGAGTGAGGGGTGGAATTGAAAGGTCTTCCAACACTTTCAGGCTCTGGGATGATGCTTTAACATGATAGAGGCACCAACCCACAGTCCAGTCTATGCTACATGTAATGAAATCACAGGGAATAATTCTGTTGTCAGTTGAGTTTCCTCTGACGGTTTCATGTATAAAGTGATTTGACTGCAATTCTTCTCAACAACAGAATTAGAAGAACAATTCATATAAACCCCATTTTTAAATGATAGCAA